AGTGTAGGCCAAATGGTGGATGATGGTTATGTCTTACTTTTTAAAGATAAATCATGTACTATGTATGATCCATCGAGTGAGTTTGTTATGAATGTTCCCATGAAAAGAAAATGCTTTCCTGTAAATTTCGAAGATGTTTGTTATCCAGCTTCTGAGGTAAAATCGAATATGACAATACTTTGACATAAATAGTTTGGGCATTGTAATCTTGGTTCCTTGGTACAAGCTAGTAAGTTAGACTTGATGGAGAATTTACGTTCCTTAACTGAATCAAATTAAGTTTATCGTACATGTCAGTTTGGGAAATCTACTAGGAAACCATTTCCATCTGCTTAATCAAGTAGAGCAACCAAGAAGCTTGAACTAGTTCACACTGACATTGGAGGTCCTATGAGCGAAAAATCTCTAAATGGAAGCAAGTTCTTCCTAATCTTTATTGATGATGCTTCTAGAATGTGTTGGATTTATTTTATAAAACATAAATTTGAAGGGTTTAATCTCTTTTTGAGGTTCAAGGCTAGAGTTGAACAAGAATCTGAAAGAAAATTAAAATTCTTAAATCTGACAATGGTGGAAAGTACAAGTCTTTAGAGTTTTCTCAATATCTTGAGAAGGAATGGATTCAACATCAACTCACAGCTCCTTACACTCCTTAACAGAATGAAGTTTGTGAAAGAAAAACAGAACTATAATAGAAATGACTAGGTGTCTTTTATTTGAAAAGAAGCTACCGAAGAGTTTTTGGGCAGAAGCAACCAATATAACTGTATACTTACTGATAATTCTCCCCACAAGAGCTTTAAGAATTGTAACTCCATATAAAGCTTGGTTCGAAAGAAAGCCATCTATAAGTCATCTACGTGTTTTTGGGTGCATTTGTTATCAACATGCCCTTACTGTGCTAAAAGATAAATTACAATTGAAGGCGATGAAAGGAATATTTGTAGGGTATAGTCTATAATCAAAAGCCTATTACAAATATCAAATTGACTCTGTTAAGATTTCCATTAGTAGAGATGTCACGTTCGATGAAGAACTTAGCTGGGATTGGAATGGTAAGCAAATCAAAGAATCAACTGATGTTGTTCAAGTTAAAATGATGATGGTAGTGAACTTGATCTTGATGAAGTTACTGATGAAACTCCTGTACAAGGTTCTCACTCTATTCAAGAGATATACAATAGATGTCAAGTTGCAATAGCAGAACTTACCTCATTTAATGAAGCTACACTTCACAAGGAATGAAGATTAGCTATGAAAGAAGACATTGCAATGATTGAGAAAAACAAGACTTGGACTCTTGTTGATTGACCAAAACATAGACAAGTGATCGGCGTGAAATGGAGCTTTAAGAAAAAGATGAATACAGATGGTTCTTTAAATAAATGCAAAATGAGGCTTGTTGCAAAGAGTTTTTCTCAAATACCAGGAGTAGATTATTTTGATACTTTTGCTTTTGTAGCAAAGTTGGATGCTATCAGGCTTCTCTTGGCACTATCAACAGCTCATGGTTGGAAAGTCTTTTATCTGGATGTTAAGTTTACATTTTTAAGTGGCAAACTAAATGAAGAAATATATATGGAACAACCCATGGGATTTGAAGTAGAAGTTGATAAAAACAAAGTGCATAAGCTGCATAAAGCCTTATATGGGTTAAAGCAAGCACCACATGTATCATATTGTAGGATTGACTCTTACTTGCAGAATCAAGGGTTCCATAAAAGCTTGAATAAGGTCACATTATATGTGATGGAAGAAGGTACTACCAACTTTTTAATTATATCATTATATGTTGATGTTCTTTTGTTAATAGGTGCAAACACAAATGGTATTACTAAACTTAAAGCATCAATGAAGAAAGGATTCAACATGTCAAATTTGAGTTTGATGACTTACTTTCTGGGGCTTAAAGTGTCACAAACAAGGAGTGGTATTCACCTGACTCAATAGAACTACAAAATAAAGGTGTTGAAACGATTCAACATGAGCAATTGCAAGGCAACTGAAACTCCTTTGAATGCAAATGAGAAACTGTCAGTTGACTCAAGTAACAATCTCTACAATCCCAATGAATATAGAAGTCTAATAGGTTGCCTTCTCTATATATGATCAACTTGACTAGAACTTATGTTTGCTATCAGTTACTTGTCACGATTCATGCAAAAGCCATGTCAATCACATCTTACAGCAGCCAAAAGGATTTTGAGGTATCTAAAAGGTATGATGAGCTATGGTGTCACATTCATACAAGCTAAAACAATTGAACTTGTAGGATTTTCTGATAGTGATTGGGGACGTCGCATTGATGATGCAAAAGTACCTCTAGATATGTATTTACTCTCGGGAATGGAGTGTTTTCATGAAATTCACGCAAGCAAGAATCAGTGGCACAATCCTCAGTAAAAGCAGAGTACGTAGCAGCTGTTTTGACTGCAAACCAAAGGATATGGTTGAGAAAAATTCTATTTGATCTTGGAATGCCATTGATGAATCCTGCCAAGGTGTTTGTTGACAACAAATCTACCATATCAATAGCTCAAAATCCAGTTTTCCATGGGAGAACTAAGCACATTCATG